AAGAGTGATTGAATTGGCTGCTTCCACTTTTGTTAACAAAAAAACCAGCATTTTTGTAGCCCCGAACTTTGCATGGATTAGCAGCTTTGACATGTTTGAATAAATGTAGCTTATTAATAACAATAAATACCAATAATACATATTTATAGAGGCCTTTTTATCTTCAAAGTGTTTTACAAATATTAACTTGTAAATTAATTCTCGTGACACCCATGTGAGGTAAGCAATTATTATCAAAGAGTATAATGCATATATTCATGCATAGTATTTCATTCCCCACTAACTGTAAAACCTCAGACTTAATCAGGAATTTGGGATTGTTCATAGCTGAATATTGTTTTATCACCCAAAATCTCATGCCTGCCATTTGCTTGCTCCAATCCACTACTTGCCATCTTGATGTTACCTCCCTCCCAGCAAACAGATGGAATGAACTGGTAAGCAAGAATTTTAAAAGTCACAGGTTCTGCAGGACTCTTAGATCTGTGTGTATTTTGTGTGGCATTGGGTAGGTACTTCAAAGTACAGTCGTACCTTGGTTCTCGAACGAAATCCGTTCCAGAAGTCCGTTTGACTTCTGAAAATGTTTGACAACCAAGGCGTAGCTTCCGATTGGCTTCAGGAATTTCCTGCACTCAGTTGGAAGCTGCGGAAGCCCCATTGGACCTTTGGGTTCCAAAGAACGTTCGCAAACTGGAACACTCACTTCTAGGTTTGCAGCGTTTGGGAGACAAAACGTACGAGTACCAAGGCATTCAACAACCAAGGTATGACTATACGGCCAATTTATGCTAAGGACAGGCTTCATTTCGCTTGATAGCCCTCTCAGTTGCATCATGAAAATGTGGGTTCTTGCTTAAAACAACAATAAAATTATCATTAGCCAAGAAAAGCTGAATAAATTAGGCATATTTACATATATTTGCATATTCTGCTTCTGCCAATAATTGGGAGTTGCAGACAGGCATTGTGGTGTAGTAGCTGGACTAGGAAATGGAAGATCAGGGTTCAAATCCCCACTCAGCCATGAAGCTCACTGGGTGACCCTGAGCCAGTCACGGCCTTTCAGCAAAACCTACTTCACTGTGGAATTGCGAGGATAAAATGAGGAGGAGGAGATCCATGTATGTCTCCTTGAGCTCCTTGGGAAAAAGTTGGGATATACAGTGGTACCTCAGGTTAAGTACTTAATTCGTTCCGGAGGTCCATACTTAACCTGAAACTGTTCTTAACCTGAAGCACCACTTTAACTAATGGGGCCTCCCACTGCTGCCGCGCCGCCGGAGCACAATTTCTGTTCTCATCCTGAAGCAAAGTTCTTAACCTGAAGCACTATTTCTGGGTTAGTGGAGTCTGTAACCTGAAGCGTATGTAACCTGAAGCGTATGTAACCTGAGGTACCACTGTAAATGTATAATTTAACATACAGACACACGCACACAAAAAAAAACCCAGTCACAGAAGCCCCACTTCCTAACTGCTAAAAATTCTGCCCAATCCTCCTCTGACTTCAGCCCACACTACTTCTCACTTTATCTGTTGAGGAGGGGCCCCAACCATTTGCAGTCTCTGGCAAATTCCTTTGATCCACTGTTGTCTGAACTGGTCATTCCCCCCAGGCTATCACCTCACAGAGAAGGCTAGTCCTGGCTTAATTAGCTTTTGACACATCACAGGAAGCACCAGTTTGGCTTAATTAGCTATTGACACATGCTGATTCCGGAGGATTAGAAGCATCAAATACACAACTTAAATACGCACAGGGCTAGCACTTTAAACACTCTGAGCCTTATTTTAATTCTAACACCTACTGAACCCAGTAATTTAGGGAAGTCTAGTAAAATATACTTGATATAAAAACTATGCTGTCACTGTGTAGCAGGAGAACTACAAACAACCCTGCTTGTATAGAGCATAAGCCCTCTGCACTGTTTGGAAGGGAGATATGTAGCTAGCATTCTAGATGCATCTGTAACCATTAGCATAGCAACTATGGGATGAGGTGTAATGGTGTACAAGTCCTCCCCCAGGGACCAAAGACTTTATGGCAGTAATGAAGGAAGCTGTGAAGCGGCATTTGCTGGTCCTATTATTTCTGTCTATGAAATTCTAACCTTCCAGTTAACAAAGCATCAAAATGTGGTGTGTGATTGTATGAATCGTGAGCATAACAAGTTGAGAAAGTGCAGAGCTAGCTTATTTTCGTGCAAAAGCAGTAAACAAGTTTTCTACAGGTCCTTTGTGCACATTTCTGCGAGTCATTTTCTTCTTCTAAAAAGCCAGGACAAATATACATTTTTATTATTATTATATATATATTAGAAGCACCCAGGGCCCCAATCTGTGATCAGAACCCTTATTATTTCAGACACCTTCAGCAGATACATAATAACATCATAGCCTGATACCTAATAAACAAATGTTTTTCCTTCAACAAACTTGCACTCTCAAAGTTCACTGAAAGACAATGCATGGGCTATGCAAACAGACTGGGAGTTTATGGTTATTATAAGGTGTTATTAAGTATTAAACACAGATTACAGCAGTAAACAGAAAAGAGGCCAGTTGCACATTTTGTAAGATACTTGTGAAGGTTACTGAGTGGGTAAACTTTAAAGAGAGACCTGAAGAAGAGCAATGAAATAGTATAATGGCAGTGATTTCCAAGCATTCTACCTTCAGAAGTGGGGAGGTTTTTACATGAAGTTCCTGCCTGGTACCCCTCTTTGTCTGCTACGTCTTCTAGAACATTTCAGGATGTGTGTTAGGATCCGTGGTGCTGCAAGAACAGGACTTTAGGCCCCAACGAACAGAATGAGCAAGACCTCCAACTGCAATAGGGCTAGCTATTTTGAATATACATTGCCATCTAAAACAGCACCCTCTGCAAGACCATTTAGCTCAGAGTCTAAAATGACCTAACTGCACACCCCAAACTCTCCTGTCACTGGAGTCCTGATTGATTACTGAACATATGAAGGAGCTATCCAGAATATGCAGACTAACCCTCTTTTTCACTCTCCAGGGATTTGTAAACACACCCCCACCCAGGGTCTTAGTGCCTTGCCCCCAACCTGTATATTGGGCCTTAGCTCTAAATATGGACCTCATTCTCAGAAGTCAGGGTATAATTAAAAATGAATGGTGACATAACACAAATGTGCAAATCAAACTGACAGCTGGAACTTGCTTCAAGGGATAATAAAGCCAACACATTCAGTAATCCAAGCCAAAATTTCATAGCATTGATTAATCACTCCTCTAATCTTATCAGGCAAAATTGCCCTGAAATAAGTGCAGTAGTAGTTCCGTAACACATTTGTCCAGTTGTGTATGTCTTCCACTCTTAATAAATTAAAATAAATTAACAAACAGAAACATTTATCTACTATTGTCTTAAAATGTGTGTTTGTAAAAACAACATTAAAATTGGTCATGATCTTCAGGGCATTTCTCCAGGGCTAATTTTCCAGTCACTTTTCTTGAGAACTGCTGACCACTCAATGTTATACAGAGCACACCCTGATTCTCTGCCTGTCCACTTGGCTGATGAGGGAAATTGTTGGCTATGCATGGATTGCACGGTTTACAATTATGTTAGAGCCAACAATATTGTGTCTTAGAATCACAGAATTGTAGAGTTGGAAGGTACTCTGAGAGTCATCTACTCCAGTCCCCTGCAATGCAGGAATCCCAACTAAAGCATTCAAGACAGATGGCCATCCAAACTCTGCCTAAAAACCTCCAATGAAGGAGTCCACAGCCTTCCAAGGGAGTAAATTCCACTGTCAAGCAGCTCTTACAATCACAAAGTTATTCCTGTTCTTTAGTCAGAATCTCCCTTCTTGTAACTTGAAGCCATTGGTTTTGGTCCTACCCTCCGGAGCAGAAGAAAACAAGCTTGCTCCATCTTCCATGTGACAGCCCTTTAGATATCCGAAGATAGTTATCATATCTCTTCTCAGTCTCTTCTTATCCAGGCTAAACATACCCAACTCCCTCAACCGTTCCTCATCAGGCTTGGTTTCCAGACCCTTTATCATCTTGGTTGCCCTCCTCTGCACATGTTCCAGCTTGTCAACTTTCTTCTTAAATTGCAGTGCCCAGAACTGGACACAGGACTCCTGGTGTGGTCTGGACAAAGTCAGAGTAGAGTGGTACTATTACTTTCCTTCTATATTTCTGCTTATGTGGCCTAAAATAGCATCACACTGTTGAATCATGTTAAGCTTGTGGTTCACTAATGCCCCTAAATCCTTTGCACATGTACTACTAGCAAACCCAGTGTCTCCTATCTTATATTTGTGCAGCTGGTTCTTCCTGCCTTTGTGTAGAACCTTGAATTCAGATTTTGTCTTCTTCGGCATTCGCTGCCTATCCCATTTTGGTGTCAGCTGCAAATTTGAAGAGCATCCCCTCAATACCTTTATCTATGTCATTTATAAAGATATTGAACAACAATAGGCCCAGGACAAAAGCCCTGTGGCACCCCATTTGTTTCTTTCCCCCCAGGATGAGAAGAGCAATTAGTGAGCACTCTTTTGGTCAGTCAACCAGCTACAAACCCACCTAACAGTTATCTTGTCCAGTCCACATTTTACCAGCTTCTCCACAAGAATATCATGGGGTATTTTGTCAAAAGCCTGATCCACCCAGCTTGTAACTATCAAAAGAAGAAATTAGATTTGTCTGGCATGATTTTGTTTTTGAGAAATCCATGCTAGGTCTTAGTAATCACAGTTTCCTTTTCTAAGTGCTCACAGAAACTGTTTAACTATCTGTTCTAGGTCCTTTCCTGGTATTGGCATCAAATTCACCAGTTGGTAGTTTGTTGACAATGCAGCTTTGGGGGTTTTTATGCTTAAATTTGCCCCAGAAGCAAGCAAAGCTTGCAGATTTGTCCTGAGGGTCTGTAGATTAAGAGAAATATTATATTTACTTCTATTATGGCAGCTTTCCCACTTTTGACTTCTTAGTGCAGCTAATAAAAACAGGCAGTATCCAACTGAACACTTCTACTAGTCAAGGTCTTTTAGTTGTGCAATGAAACTTCCCTGCCCTCTCCTATCCCCATGTACCCCCTAAATCTGTTATGGTTCCATTGTGCAGCCAAAATATCTTGAATAGCAGAAGTGTTTAGTTGGATACTACCCAATACATACTTGTACCACAGAAAGACAAGACCCAGGGTGAGATGGGGTTGCAGCAGGAACAGCCAGTGGGGTCTCCTTGCTATGCTGTTCAACTACAGCCACCATTAGCCACAGCCAGCACGATCAATTGTCTGGGATAAGGGGAGGTGTAGATGAGCAACATCTGGAGGCTACCATGTTGCCTCTGTTAAAGTGCTGGAATAACACTGGAGAGATCCAAGTTGAAATTGTCATTTGGCCATGAATCTCCATGGAAGAACTTGAGTCAGCCATACTCTGCCAGCCCGACCTACATCACAGAGTAGTTGTGAGGGTAAAATGAGGTGATCATACTTGAGTTCCTTTGAAGAAATGTGCAGTTCATAAATAACAAATGTTTACATGTTACTAATAGTATGATGTGGAATCTTATCTGCAAGCATAGACTGAAAACACTTCCCTCTCCCCCCAAAAGTTATTCTCTGTATTCCAAAAATGACGCGCTATATTTAACTTTACAAGGCCTCTGTACAGATCCTCAAATATTCTAATAACTACACAAACATTAAAATTTAAATACAATACATCCTATGAGCTACAGAATGGTCATAACTGTGGACTGATAAACTGCTTAAAAAAATTCTCTTTAGGAGTCAAGTGGGGAGGGAGATGCTGATATGACTGTCTCTTGTCATTGTAAAACTGGCAGCCGTTGGATGCAATATACATCCCTGGTAAAAACAGTTCAAGGAGGGGAGCAACTGCAGTGAAAATTAGTACTCTTCCCCTAGCAATGAATGGTGCTATCAACAAAATTTGGGGGCAAAGCTTATAAAATTCTTTTACTTTCTGAAAAGTGCAATGTGGCACTATTTAACTATGACTGTGGTCCTCACATACAGAGGTGCCCTAAACAGATGTAACTGCTGCTGTTCTCTTAACCATAGTTGGTAGATTGCTGGTGGTATATGGAGTCACACACTCCCATTCCCTCCTTCTTTTATAAATATAGACTCTCCCTCTCTCTTCCATTGTCTCTTTAGCTAGCAGTACATCTGCAATGATGTTCTTTGTGATTAATGCTAGCTTGGTTGCTCTTACAGGTTTACAAACCTATTTCTAATGCTGGTTAGAATGGAAACTATGGTTAGCTAGCATAAGAGCCAACCCCTAGGGGCCAAGGTTCCTTTGCCCCCTCCCCATAAAATATTTGAGGGGGACCCCCAAAGTTAATGGGCACTGCCATTCAAATGCTGTGTGCGCGCCATATTTTGTGACTGATTTTTTTATTCAAGTTGGCACCCCTGTTAGTTAGCAGTTATGGTGGACTGTTGTGGTTGGTTGTGTCCAATTAAGTTGCACAAGGACATCTGTGCGACAGAACTTTGTCTCCCTCTTCTCCCCCTGCACCCCACAAATCAGCCCCAGAGGGTTAGAAAAACCAGCAGAACCCGAACAGATGAGGAGGTCGAATGGAAGGAGAAGTTCTATTGGATGCAAACCAGTATTCCTTACAGGAGTTACTTAAGCCACATTTTCTGCAAAGCCTTGGACACAATGCCTTAATCCTCATTCTACTCAAAGGTAAGTCCCACAGAGTTTGCTGAAGCTTACTCCCAGGTAAGTGGGTAGTCTGAACTGTAGTATCTTTATTGACAAATGTAATGAAGAGCAAACAGAAAGTTCCTACTCAGTACTTAGAAATGATTTATCCCACCACATAGAAACCACAAGCTGTGTGTATATTTTTGTGTGTGTACCTTATTTCCTGTATTACAGGGGGTTGGACTAGATGATCCTCAGGGTCTCTTCCAGTTCTACAGTTCTGTGATTTTTTGGTTCTATGATCGGCGGCACTGTTGGTACCATCCTGCCCTCTTCTTGCACTCCAAAACATTTATCAGTAGAAATGGTACAAAACTGGTTTGCATACAAAGTTCTTTTAATAGAAGGCATCACCATGTTGTACTTAATTTCTGAAATGGTGGTGGTGGAGGGGAGGAAGTCTGTCTTAAGCCATGTCTGCAAGCTCTTTGCTGTATCCCACTTGTATGGCAGAGACACAATGGTTGTGGTGACTAAAGACATTCTGAATTGAAGACACTCTCATCTTACTACAGTGGTACCTTGGTTTAAGAACAGTCCAGTTTAAGAACAATTTGGTTTACAAACTCCGCAAAACCAGAAATAGTGTCTTGGTTTGGGAACTTTACCTCGGTCTAAGAACTGAATCTGAATGGTGGAAGGGCACCGGCGGCGGGAGGCCTCATTAGGGAAAGCGCATCTCAGTTTAAGAACTGTTTTGCTTTAAGAACGGACTTCCGGAACGGATTAAGTTCATAAACCGAGGTACCACTGTATTTCACATTTCACTGAGTAACCCTAGAAACAAAGTTCCCATTACCATTAAGCAGAAATATTTTACATAGTAAAATTATCTTTTCCTACAAAACTTTACTTATTGAGTATCCATTCATAAGAAGCAAGAGAAGGGAATGTTCACTGTGTTAATATGCTTCATCAAGCTGTGTATTGGCCCAAAGGTGGTAGATATCAGCCAATGCAGAACTGCATATTTTTAAATATAAAGTTTTTGTAAAAATATAAAGAATAAACAAACCCCCACACATCTGAAATACAGGAACTGTTCCTGTGCAGTTAATTCCAGTAAACTAGTTATTACAAAAGCTTTTATTTCTGCCCAGAATACTACTGAGTATCATAAGAGAAACTAGTTCACTATTATACAGTTTTCCATATATAAGGAAATGATGCAAAAGAGATAAGCCATTTTCAAAACAGATCAGCTTGTCTCTTTAGCAATGGAAAACGTCAGCCTAAAAATAACAAAGATCTGTCTGTCCACATAGTTCTCTGCTTCACCTGCATGTCATTCTTTGATCCTGGTCCATAAATCCTATGGGGAGGATTTGTGTGACATGTGTGTTCTGCATTACACCCAGTTGGTGTGATTATAAACCATAAATTGTGGCTATAATATTTGCATTAAATATGGAACCTGAGCTTAAACATGTTTACTTGGAAGAGAGTCCTACTCATCATAGTTCTAGCATATATGTTTTAGATTACTGTATTTATAATATATGAAATGGCATTTTGGGGAAGAAAGTGAATGTATTACAATAAACAGCTCAGCTCCCCCTAATGGTGTTACTAATGCATCTCTATCAACTTATGGGATATTCTCTGTTGATCAGATCCCTGCTGATGAACAGTAAAGCAGATTTGATGTTATGTGAATAATTGTAAGATTATTATTTAACATCAACATTTTTTTTAATTGGGCTCACATGGGGGTCCCTTTCAACGTTACAATTCTATGATTCTATGATTTAAAGAAATTGCAATAAGCCATTACTGGAATTCGCACATGAACAGAAAGAGGGGCATTAAATGCACTGATATGTCGTCATTTGGATTCCCAGTGGCATTGTTGTTGCTACGGTCTTTAGAAGACTGGGGTGAAATTTCCCAAGTCTGAATAATGGCATTCTGTCACTTAGTCTGAAATCTTCTCTTCTGCTCTCCAAATGGACAGAGCAATCTTCACTTTCTGTGTATCACTGTTGTGCTGCTGCTAAACAGATTGTCTGTTGTCCCGCAGAGTTGGTCTCATTTCACTAGTGGATAAAGCGATTCTTGCAAATAGCTTGCAAAATGATTTGGGATCCTTTGGGATGAAAGGCATTATAAAAATGTGTAAAATTATTATTACCAGGGAGAAAGAAAGAAAAAACCCACCACTGTGTGTACTGTTTATATCAAGCGGGGAATGGGGAGGTGACTGTCTTATGTTAATGAAATGCCTGTTTCACCCTTATTACACTGGAGAAACTGTGGGAAAAGAGTTTATCATGTGAAAATACAACACCAATGTTCCTACAATAATACAGCAGAGGCCAATGAGACATGTGGTAATCTAAGGAGTGAGTGTTGATTGTTCAACTTAAAAGATGCTGGGAATGTGGAAGATGTATCTCACACTTTAAAAAAACCCCAAAAACATGGGAACTGCTTCAACTTGATTTTGCCAGGTTTCTTGGGATTTGCAGTACATTCAGCAAAGCAATGGCATTGCTGAAGTACAACACATTGGAAAACGTAGGCCACACAAAGCTGCTGTTACTCTGTTAATTGGGCAAGCATAAAAGTAAGTCAAGATGAAAACTTTGTCGCACTAAGATCTAGTTCTCACTGACAGTGACGGAGCTTCATGCTCTGGCACCGGGGGTGGGCAGAGAGCAGGCGGGGGCAAGGCTGGCGCGCATCCTGGGGGCAGGGCACCCAGCACAGGCGGGGGGCAGCCGCATTGGCACCCCACTGGGATTGCGCTGCCGGGGGCGGTGCGCTCCTCCCGCACTCCTCTTCCTCCGCCAGTGCTCACTGAAGTAGTAAAGTCAAAGTGAAGATTTTGGATGACAAAACTCCTTTAATTCTTCATTTTAGAGAGCAAGTGAGGGCCTACAGATTAAGGTTGCAGGCCTGTGGTCTCTGGGAGGGCACCAATGGGACCACAGAACTGCCAAATTTCCCACTTTGAGGGGAGAAAGAGAAGCTCATCCTCAGAATAGGAGATCCCTCCTCCATGAGGTTGTGGAAAGGTCAGCTCTCCTCCAGCGTTGGAGAGGTCAGGGAGGAAACATTCCTAGGGAATGTATGGGTTGTGGACCTTAATAGCTAAGAACTTCCCATTTGGCTGACACACTCTTGGAATGGGATAGGTGGGGGGACAATCTACACCAGCCTTGGAGGTGACAGAGCTTGTTTTCTTTAATGTAAGGGAAACTGTTTCAAAAACAAAAAACCGGAATATGAGAAATGGTTCATCTGCTTTTGGCTCTACCTCCGTCTGTCCTCTTGGATTGCTCCACTCATGTTGTCAATAATGTGAGCCCACATGTGAACTGAGAAGTGCTGTAGCCCAGATCCATAAGGTTTGCCACCTCAGTGAGAACTAAGCTATCTATCTAAAAATGTTCTGCAAGAAAAGTA